ATGTGAGTTAGGGATGAGGGCCCAGCATCAACTTATCAACCAGGGAAGCAAGGAGCTTGGTGAGAAAGTCAGAGCACCAGGAGAAAACGTTAGACTATTTCTGGGTAATGAGCCCGAGCAGCTGGCCCCGTATTTGTTTGGTCTTCACCCCGTAGATGATGGGGTTCAGCACAGGGGGCAGCAGGACGTACATGCTGCCAAGGAGAACATGGACGTGCTGCGGAAAATTCTGCCCAAAACGGTACATGAGGGAGGAGAAGACACTGGGCATATAAAAGATTATGATCACACAGAGGTGGGAGCCACAAGTCCAAAAAGTCTTGAGTCGGGCCTCCTTTGTGGGGAGTCTGAAGATGGCCCTGAGGATCTGCATGTAGGAGATGGCAATAAACACCACATCCAGACCCATCACACAGAACAGCCCGAAGAGCCCATAGTAACTACTGATGCTGGTGTCGGCACAGGCCAGCTTCACCACAGCGATGTGCACACAGTACGGTGCATTGATGCTGACGGAGCTGCAATATGGCCATCGCCTCGTCAGGAAGGGATAGGCCAGTGACTCTATGCCACTGCGCAGCACCACGGCCAGGCCAATCTTGGCCACCAAAGGGTTTGTCAGGATGGTGGAATGTCTCAGGGGATGGCAGATGGCCACGTAGCGATCAAAAGCCATTGCTGCCAAAATCCCAGACTCGATCGCTGTGAAGAGGTGAATGAAGAACATCTGGGTGAGGCAGGCATTGAAATCGATCTCCCTGGAATTGAACCAGAAGATCGCCAGCATTTTGGGCAGGGTGGACATAGACAGGACCAGGTCGGTGACAGCCAGCATGCAGAGGAAATAGAACATGGGCTCATGGAGGCTGGGCTCTGTTTTCACAATGAACAGGATGGTGAAGTTCCCCACGATGGCGATGACGTACATGATACAGAAGGGAATGGCGATCCAGACATGGACCTCCTCCAGGCCAGAAATGCCCAACAGGATGAAGGTAGAGGGGTTGATGAAGTCGGTTGCGTTGGAATCTGACATGGAGTAGGGGAGATGGTGTCCAACTCTGAGGCAGAACGGCGTCTCCTACATCTGCTGTATGTTCCCTGGACTTCCTTTATATGCTCAGGCTCTAGGGGGATGGTCACAGAACCTGGATGGAGAGATGATGTTAACAGGAGATATCACATGCACCTCTGAAGGCTCTTTTCATGGGTGAAGCACATTCCCTGCTCTTCGCACAGTGATGAGACATTTCTGTTATTCAGAAAAAATGAATTATTAAACACTGATGAGAATTCCATATTTTACGTGTCAATCATCCCTGAACAAAATGATGTGGGAAAACCTAATATGCAGGACAGGGGATTGCATGTCGTACAGATTCCCTGTTCATCTGGTTGCTCAAAATATGAGGGTGATGGGGTGAGGTCAGAAATGACCCTTTGGGGGTTATTCCGAGGGTGCTGACACAGCCACTGCCACCCTCCTTTTTGATCTCTGGGGCTTCTCAGCACCTGATCCAGCTGGTCCAGCTCTCTGGTCTCCTCCAGCCAAGCCCCTGAGCTGAGGTCACTGTGCCACCAAGGAGCAGTACAGACCCTGAATTGTTTCAGGTCCAAGGCGAGTGCAATTTTGTGTCCAGCTTCCTGGGATACCCCTCCCCAAATGGGATCAGACCGCAATGAATTACTTGGGTAAGCCCCCTTTTGCAATGAAAGGGGGAATGTACACACTGGTTGCTCCCCCAGGTAACAATTATTTACATTGGCTACGTCTACACTGGCCCCTTTTCCGGAAGGGGCATGTTAATTTCAGAAGCCGTAATAGGGAAATCCGCCGGGGGTTTTAAAAATCCCCGGGGGATTTTAAAAAAAAAATCCCCCGCTTTTTTTTTGCCTTTTGAAAAAGCGGGAAAAAAG